CTACTAGTAGTACATATTAAAAGTCGTTTAGAAAGTTTACGCTGTTTTTGATCCTCAATTTGGAATGCGTGTCAAATCTCAAACAAAAAATCTTTACATGAAAAATTGTTACAATTCTCAAGCTTTTGGAACAAACGGATTTAGTTGATTCGATTGGCAAGACTGCTGTAGCTCTGAAGGTGACGGGTTCGCTACGGGCGTATCGGCACCGTTTTATTCGCCTCTACATATCTTTGGCAGTTCCATGTCGACAGTCGTAAAATGCGGCAACTTGGATTCGTTATATTCATGTCCTTGGGTGCTCTTGCGAAATTGACAACTGTTACGAGAAGAACTCCGTTTCGTAACTATTTCCGATCTAAATGCTCAGGAAATATTTCGAGCTAATTTATGTGAAGAAACCCATCAGTTCGATTGGGCTGACCTAATCGCTGAGAACAATTTCTTTGAAGAGATTTCTTATAAAAGTCTACAGATATGCCAGCTTTTGTAATCGTTTCGATTGGGCATTTTGAGAATCATCTTCGCTTGGAATGCGAGGGTTCAAAGCCGCGATATAAGCAATTAAAGGAATCCTCGCGGAAAATTCTTGCATTCTTTCTCAACATGAATGTGTCAGTTGTGATCACTGGAAACAGCACACAAAGTTTCACGCATGAAGATTCGGTTTCCGAAGAGAAACAAACTTACAAAAACTACACTCTATGGACAATCGAAGGTAAGGGCGCGGAGCCAAAGGCGGGGCATGGAAAGAAGTCGCCTTGGGGCGGCTACGTATCAGGCGACGCAATGAAAGAATCGGGTTAAAGCGTTCGATTTTGGAGAGTAGAGACAAATCGATCGATAGAATAGGATGCAGTAGAAGTGTGAGATGTTAGTGCAATAAGTCAAAAGGTCAAAAAGTTTTAGTGACAGCACTCCGTGAACCAAGTGGAAGCGTTCCCGTCGCCAGCATTTGTGACAGATGTCCGGCGGAATTTGAACGCGTAGCAGTCCTTCCGGTTTTTCGAATTGTTTACCAAAACAAATGCAATTTTTTGTTCTTTTCGTTCACATCGTGACGATAGGTCTCAAGCCGCTGATTTATTGGTTAACCAGAATCATGATTTTTTCGCGAAAGATTCCTTTAACGTATTTCTTTGGCCCAACGTTCTATACTCGAGGCACTTTTTCAGTCGACTACAATCCGCTTCCGAAATTCGATGTGATTGCCGTCTCCGTCTGCGTAGTTACACAGTTCACTCTCATGTTCATTATCACGAATCTGGAGACGTAAGTATTTTTTGCGAACGAACTTCGACGTGTGTCTTTGTCAGGAAAGGCCACACTATTAAAGCCACCCTTCGTAT